AGTTTGTAGGTGTGGAGGCAGAGTCGCAGTAACATGTGGAGGAAACAGGTGTTTTTAAAACTTCACTGCTCGAGTCCAGATTCAAACTACACTCATTAGGATGAGAACGCTCTAAATCACTTTGAACATTGTCATGTGCTCATATTATTATGTTAATACAACAAAAGGTTCAGTTACGTACAATAACTGTTCATACAGCTACTTCATACTTTCTTACTTTGGTACATTTCACAGCTTTGAGTAAAAACTTGCTTCAGTGCTTCAGCTGGAGTGTTTTACTCACGTATCTGTGTGAGTAGAGAGACGTTTGCCACCTCTGAGCTCCTCGTGTCTAACCTGCTCACAGGCAGCAGGGCCACGTCACACCGCGTCCCCCTCCCGTGTCGGACTCTGACCTGCAGGGCGGGTGGGGGCTGGGTGGGACTGTGGAAGGAGGGCGTTGGGTCGGCCCTTTGTTACGGCGCCTTCAGCCGTCCAATCCTGACCTGCTGATGTAAACCGGCCTGTGTAAATTTCCCACAATGCCCCTGTGCCTCTGTGAGGCGCAGCCTGAAGAAGAGCGGGGGGGGGGATCGGACCCAGACCCGGTCCGCTGAGCCGCGGGGATGAAAGCGACCCGGCAGCGCTGGAGGTGTCGCTGGTGCCGCTTCCCGGCGCCTCGGAGCGGTCTGGGCCTCGGCTCGGCGCCTCACCTTGGCCGTGAGCGCCTCCAGCGCAGACGGGCTCGTAAGGCGCAGGCGGGCCCCGGGTGGTCGTGTTACTTCGGTAGCACATATACTAAAATTGGAACAGAGAAGACTAGCATGGCCCTGCACAAGGATGACACGCAAATTCCTCATTTTCTTTAAAAGTAATTCGACTCTGAAATAGTTTGAGAGGTTTATTGATGACGACAGGTAAACACAGCACACGCCACGGACACGCTCCCAGTTCACAGGAGAATAATCCTTTAATTGTCCCACAAGAGGAAATCTGGTTGTGTCAGCAGCAATAAAAACACACATATATACAAAAAGAACAGGACACAGAGCAGAAACAAAAACACATCATGGACAGTGGTTACCAGAGCACAGTTGGTAAAGTCTGACAGCTGCAGGGAGGAAGGAGCAGCTCCTTCATCATCGAGGACGCAGCAGTCTGTCACTGCAGCAGCTCTGCAGCAACATCTACATGCATGGGCTGGGAGACTCTGTCCATCAGAGATGTTATTTTGGCCAGAGTCCTTCTGTCTCCCACCACCTGCACTGGGTCCAGGGTGCATCCCAGAACAGAGCTGGCCTTCCTGATGAGTTTATCCAACCTCTTCCTCTCAGCTGCAGATAAACTGCTGCTCCAACATACCACACTGTAAATATGACAGAAGCCACAGAGTCATAGAAGGTCTTTAAAAGCGCTCCCTGGACTCCAAATGACCTCAGCAGGTGGAGTCTGCTCTGACCCTTCCTGTAAACAGCATCAGTCCAGTTTATTACTCAGGTGAACACCAGGTACCGATACGAGTCCACTATCTCAGTGTCCACTCCCTGCATGTTCACCGTGAAATGGAGGAGAAAGCATCTGTTACATCACACAGATACTCACTGACACACAGACACTAGAGGGCTTAAAAAATCGATTTAAATCGATTTGATCTTGAATAAAGTGATTCAGGTGTGAAGGGTTGGACCCCGCCCTAAGGTAGCTGGGATAGGCTCCACCCCCATGACCCTGACGAGGACACGTGCAGGAGGTTGGAGTTTTATTTGTTGTGTGTTGTTGTCATGCCGCTGTAACTTTCCACAGCACGGTGGACGAGGAGCTGCGTGGGTTATTGCGTCAGTGTTTCTGTGACGGACCTCGTTAACCTTTGGATCATCGCCAAAGTGTTTCATTCATCAACAGGAGAACAGCCACTAGTCACGTGTCCGTGATGAAGTGCAGTTCCCACGCAGTCACAGCTGAGGCATGTTTGTGGTCCGTTTGGGCTTCTTGTTTTTCTAAATGTGAGCGCAGAAGAAGAAAAGCTCGCTGGGATAGAAACAACTCACGTCGTCCCCAGACAGACGTGCAGCCCACCTGACACTGTGGGTTGCTGAGTGTGATGCAGCTCTCTGCCGAAACGGGGCTTTGCATTAGCCAATCATATTGTTTGTTTTGGCTTTAGTCTGGTTCCTGTCTGTTTGTGGACCTTTGCTCAGCGCGTGTTTCTGCTTTTACACGTAAACGTAAAGACGTTTGAGCTGTTCGTCGCTCCGGCCTCCGCAGCAGCGACACCACCATCCGGAAACACGACGCCTCCCATCAGAGCGGAGAAACAGGACGGAGCGAGTCCTCCTCGGCCCACCCGTGCCGTGGAAGCAGCCGTCAGAGTGGAGATGATCCACTCTTTGTGTGTGTGTGTTGGACAGCACCCTCTCCTGTCTGTCATTAAGGATGCTTCTGTGTTTCCTCTGAAGGAGGTGTCAAGGAGGCGCTGCCGTGTCCTCCCAGGAAGCTGTAACCTTTGCTGGGCTGCAGCTGTCTGTGCGGCTGCAGGGGGCGCTGTGGAGCAGCTGTCAGACTGCAGAACCTCAGAGGAAGACGGACGGCTGCCTGCTCGCGCTTTTTTGTGCTTTTTTCGCTGGTTTAACGGATAAAAACGACTCGGTCACCATGGCAACAGGCCGGCTGGTGGAGGTGTACCTGGACCTTCTGTCGCAGCCCTGCCGGGCGGTGCACATCCTGCTCACCTGCACCAAAATCCCGCACAGAGTGCGCACCGTGGCGCTGCGGAAAGGTGAGCTGCTGACAG